TATGCATGTAATCCCAGGACATGGAAACAGGTGAGTACCTGGGGTTCCTTGGCCAGCCACCTAGCCTCCGTGGGGAATTTCAGGTCAATGAAGATGTTATCCCCCAAAAATAAGGTGATAGCACCTAATTGATGAGCAACAATTAGGGCCTCTAGGATACATACACACAACACACACACACACACACACACACACACAAACACACACAACTTCATACATACATGCATCGGCATAGAAGAACATATACATATAAAAGGAAACCCACTTTGGCTTAAAAGAAAATACATTATCAAAAACAGTGGTTGTGGAAGCCATCACACAATTTTATATATGATGAACTTTATCATAAATGACAATACAGCAAGTATTTGTGTGTCAATAGTAGATCGGGCATCTTGCAAAAGTTGCATGATCAAAATTTTTTTTTACTTTAAAGCCATAGGTTAGAGGAAGGGATGCAGTTTATCAGACATCTTTCACATTTTCCCAATAAATCATTAAATATTTAAGCACCATAAAATTCAAGCATTTCACATGGATGTGGCAGCTAGACACCCTGGTTTAAAATGCATTATGCAGAATTTCTTGGGGATAATAGTGACGATTGTAGAATGATGATTTTTTAATGTCAATTGTTTCTTCCCTGCAGACTTACTCATAATGTCCCTGCAGGAAACTGTGATACTTTTTGTGGTACAATAACTCTGAGAATTGAAATAAAGAAGCATTCCCAAAGACGTTAAGAACTGGCTAGGTATGAATATTTCTAATCAGTAATTTATATGCCCTGTGAGAATCAACATGTAATTTTGTTGTGGGGGTGGAGGGAGACAAGAAATAGTTTTCATATTAAATACCTTATTTTAAATAGAAGATGTGACCATAACTGGTGCGTGGTGATTGCTATGCTCTAGGTAGGTAAGAATCCAACTCTAATTTTCAACATGAGTGTAATGGCCTCCCTTATAAATGAGGGGGAAATTAGCAGAAGTCCCCCATGGCAACATGCCCGGGAAGGGACACATTTGGATTGAAATCTAGGACCAACCTGTTCAGAAGTCCCCCCTTTTCCCACTATTCTTGTAGCCATACCAAGTAAAAGACAACTGTTAAATGATTCCAGTGGGCTGGTAAAACCCCTGATCATAAAGGAGAATGGTCTGTTTTGTGGCCACCTGCAGGAAGAGCAAGAGAAACTCTCTGATGAAGTTAAGTCTCCAGGGCCATTCTGCTGACTTTTTCTAAGCACTCAAAACATACATGGACTTTGTAGCAGCACCTTGGTGCCAAGAAATCCTTAAATGGTGAGGGAATACAGATTGCAGCACGAGTCATCTAATTTCAGCAAAGGTTCTTCTTCCTAGCAAATCTTGGAGCAAATGTCCTTTCTGAAATTTCAGTTCATAGAGAAGGAATTAATTGTGGAGTGAAGAGGGGTCAGTGCTTGTTGATTGGTGTTATGGTGATAATTGTATTAAGAGCTTGTGGATGTGTGGGTATGGTTAACGTTCTGATATTCCAAAGTAAGAAGGGCTTGTTATGCTGGGTACCCTTTTACCAATGAGGTCTTATATGCAGAGCTGAACATTAAAGGTGGCAGAGGAAATGGTCACTGGATGACAGAATGAGTCAACAATAGACACATTCATGTGCTAACGCTGGACATCCAAAGACTAGCAAAGCCTGGTCCCTGCCCCACAAGTGCTTCAGTTTTTAACCACGGAATGAAAGAAATGTGCTGAGATATTAAAGAATGGAGATGGAGAGCAGAGAGCCCCCCAAGTCTCTCTGGGAAGTTCATATACCTCCTACTAATCTATTAGGATAAACATGTGTCTACCAAACCAATGGACCCAAGGGAGGACATCTATGGTAGAAAGAGGAGCCAAAGACACGCAGGTATGTGAGCATTTACAGAGCTGTGTGCAGCTGTGCTGACAAAGAGACACTCACAGACATAAGCTTCCCACTTCACAAAGGACCTTTCACCCTGTGTGAAGTCATTTGGATTTCACAGGCACTGTGGTCATTGTGGGTTTTAAGCCAAAAGATAACAAAATCTAATTTAGATGGAACTTAGAAGATGACTGGGTTTCCAAATGAGATAGCTCCTGTGAGAGGCTAGCTGGAAAGCTGTGGAGATGCAAGAAGCATGGAGAGGAGGGGTAGCAGGCCCCACAAAAGTAGGGGTGTGAGTTTCAGCCTGGGGAACACACCACATGCAGCATGGACATCTGCCTGATGGACAGGTTCCACTTACCAAGACTGAGAACCCAGAAGGAAGCACCCAGTCCAGGCTCTAGTACAGGGCCTCCAAGTAATTCCCATCAGGGACCTAGGCACATTCCAGCCAGCCAAGGGTGGAGGTCTTGAAAAGGAGGTTTAGATAAGACCATCAAAGTAATAGGTTAGGATAACTACAAAGCTTAACTACAAAGTCCCCACTGAGCAAGGCTGTTCCAGAAACATTGATATATAGCCAGGTGGAAAGAGAAATAATAACTTGAAAATAACATGCTCTTCTGCCCCAAGAATGTTTTTCCTATTGTTTTGCCCTTCTGAACTATTTCAAAATACATTTCTGAACCATGCCATATTCAGAGGGAGGCATGGGATCTACGCTGTGAACTGTTTCTTGCATACTATCTCAGGAAGCTAAACTGCCCTCCTGACTCAGCCAGTCCTAATTTATTTATGAAGTGAGTTAGTATCCTAACCACAAAGTTGAAGGGTTTGATGTCATTATGTAGCAAGCAACGGCAATGTGTGCTCTAATGGCTCATCTGTTCCTCTCACCTCTTCCTAGGACATGTTCTCAGACCAAGTTCGTCATGAACTTTCAGGAGACCTGGTTTGGGGTGATAGATAAGGATTCTGGAAATATAAGAGTAATGCAAATAAAGAAGAAGTGGGCTTCAATTTCAGACACTCAAAATATTCAACATGAATAGCATGAACTCCAAATCAAATAGATCAAAAGTAGGAACTACTCTGCTACATTAAGAAAGTTATTTCATGTTAAAATAGAGACATTCAGCCCTAGTTACTACATAGTGGGTTCTAGACTAAGCTGAAGCAATGTCTTCAAAACAAACAAAGCAAAACCAAAAAACTGTTTCAAACAAACAAACAAAAAAGAAGCAATGTCTTCAAAACAAACAAAGCAAAACCAAAAAACTGTTTCAAAAAAACAAACAAACAAAAAAGTCAAACTCCCAGCACTTTGGAGGCTCCAGGAATTTGTCAAGATTTTGAAGCCAGCCAGCGTCGGGTTATGTTGTGAGTTCTGGGCCAAGTTGAACTACAGGCTAAGATGCTAGCTTAAAAACTAATAAAATAAAATAGGCAGTATGACCAGAAAGTTCTCTTAAATAGCCATCCCACAGGCAGCCTACAGAAGGAAAAAAAAAGGAAGAAAAGAAAAGAATTGCAGTCTGCATAAAGAAGTACATTGCTGACCAAAGGATGACAAAGAAAACGTGTCTTAGAAATGTTTTTAATTTCCTTTTGCTTTTACGTGTCTGTGGGTGGATATTTGTATGTGTACAGGAATGAGGACCCATGGAGGCAGAAGAGGACATGGAGTTAATGGTGACTATGAATTCAGATCTTCAGCAGGAACAGTGAGTGAGTGCTCTTAACTACCAAGCCATCTCTCCAGCCCCAGAAACAAAATTTTAATTGAGTTTTTCTTTCAATTATTCTTGAGTGCACTGAGAAGTAAGCTCTGACATGAGTGTCGCTCTCAGGGGAACATCCGTTCTTTCTATTAAAATGACAATTTTACTTTAGCTGAGGAAGGTGAGTTTCAAAAAAAAAAAAAAACAAAGTCTTTTCTAGCAAAGCTTTCAATTGGTGATTTATAGGGAGCCCTGGCTGAGTAGCCAGCAGACCTTATGGTGTGCAGAAAAATCACTGCAAATTGACATGGATCCTAACTGTGTGCAGGAGCGCTGCTAAGGTCCAGAGTCAAACAGCTGTCCTGCCATGATGCTAATGCAATATAAAGAATGTTTGAAAATTGGTGAGACGGATGCTCCCATTAAAAAAAAAAAAAAAAATCACGGGACACAAAATTTAGATTGGGTATCATCTTTGTTTCTGTGGGGAGAGAGCCCCATGCCTTCCTGGTGGGGTGACCCTGGCGTAAATGAATCTTCTTACCTAAGTTTAATTAAGTCAGCCCTTAATTTTCTCCCAAGTGCATAATGATAGCCCTGTCATTTCAGGAGTCAGTTGCCATTATGCACATGGAGGCTGCGCCTTGCAGGCTCTCCTGGGGAGGAGAGCAAGAGGTTTTGTACCAGCCTCTGGATTGCCAGTGTAAGCCCCATGTGGCTTCAGTCCCATTAGCAGGAGGACACGCTGGCCCCCGACTGGGGAAAAGTGGTCTGTTTGCAGGTTCCCTGGGACGGGGAGTCAATTTTTGTGAATCAGTACCTTAATATTCATTAATAGCTTTTAGGCCCCTAATCCCTTATTGAATATATTTTTCCACTAATTGCTACTTTTCAAAAGGGTTGCCAAAGTAGGCATTTCCATTCTATGTGAAATGCAGAAGAGAACGTAATGTTTTATATTCATCTGTGAAGTGTTTATGCTAATGTCGAGGCCCTGAAATACAGGACTGCAGGCCTTCCTGGCAAAATGAACTGCTAATGCTGGCAGAGAGGAGAGGCTGTTTTTCTTTTCTTCCTCCTTTTCAAAAACCTCTTTGGGCCATGGTCCCACAATTATTTAAAGTGCGTGGTTTAAGAAAAATAGATTATAAAGGAAATCATTTTGAGACATTGAAAATCTCTCCTTCATAGCTTCATTTGTTGGCCTATTTATATTGTTCCTGTAAAAATCTAGCCAGAAGCCCAATGGATTACAGCATAATTGACTTCAGTTGTTCGAGACGCTATCAACCAATGAATGGAGTTTTCAGGCATTTATAATCTGGCCTTTGTCATTCACTTTCTTTTCTGGGAATTAACACATGCTCAAATAAAGCCTGTTCTTCCATCATCTCAATAAAGAGAGAATATGTGGGTTTCATCTAGATTGGCGGGGGCCAAACAAATCCACGTGTGCAAAGTTTGCTTGATCTGACTGGAGGAGAAGGACTCCTGGGGTAACCACGCTGAGACAAGGCATGGCTGACAGAGAAGGGAGCGAGCACCACCGAATGTGCTGGAATAGCTGGGGAATCTTTTCCTCTCTGGGATGTATCTCTTGATGCCTGTGGGCATGTTTTGAATTCTCTAGCTGTACTTCATGCAGACCTGGCACCTGCTGATTTTCTGGCGCTGGGCCTGCAAGTCTTTCAAGGTGTCAGGTGAAGGGCCAGAGGAAAACTGCAGATCTGGGTTCACGGTGGTCAGCCAGAAGCTGTATTCATTTGCAAAAAAGTGGCAGGTTCCCTGCCGGCCTTGGCATTCAAGGAACGGTGCAGCCCTGAAGTCCTCTAGGCAGCTGCCAGGCGACATGAGCGCCTGCCCTCCTCCTTGGTCCCCAGCTCCAGTGTGCTACCCAGACAAAAATGAAGCATTAAGGCTCAGCCACTCCAGACCACCCAGATCGAATCAGTGACCTGCCCATGACTAGGTTTCCTTTAAGTCATTCCATAAAAAAACAACTTAAGTGTGCTGAGGAGCAAGTAAGAGCTGTTTGGGGTGTCTATGCAAAATGAAACCAATGTCACCTATGGTTGAAGTAAATCCATCTTCTAAGAAACTAACCAAAGAATGCCTGATGAGAAAGAAACTAGAAACAATTGTAAGGATTCCGGCAATTATGCTGGCCTGCCCCTGTCACCTGGCAGAATGCACTCAGGCAGTACCCTGGTCAGCCCAGGGTTCCATGGAGTCTGCACACAGGTGCAAAGGACCCCTTTAAAAGAAAGACCCCCCCCTGCCCACTTATGCTCTCTTTCCGTACTCCCCACTCTCTTTTTGCCCTCTCTTTTCCAGCTCTTTGTCCGCTTCTCTCTTTCCTACTCTTCTCTTTCCCACTCCTCCCCCCCCCCCGCTGTTCCCGTGGGGCAGACAGGACTTTTCCTTCCTGTCTCCCTCTTCTCTTCTGTCCTGTCTCTGTCTCTGTGTCTCTTTACCTCTCTTCTCTTTCCTTCCCCCTTCCATCCTCTTTCTAATAAAACTTCTTGCCTGGCATGTTTGTCCCTCCGCCTCGGTCACCCTCGCCATGAAATCCACCAAGGTCCCTCACACAAGGTTCCACACGCAAGGTCCCTCGAGCTTTATCATAACAACAATCATGATGGCCCCATATTTCAGCAGACTGTAGTCTGCACTGGCCTGGCTGATCTTGGGTCCTCTGGTAGCTACACAGTACACAGACAGAACTACCATCTAGACAGGAATAAGGCTCGAGGGTAGGATTCTCACCATCAGAAATGAGTACCCGATCCAGAGGCTCCTCCACGCCCGTGGACACGGTGGGATGGATTGGTCCTGACTGTGGACAGCCACTGCCTGGGCTGGAGCCTCGCACACTGCGCAGCGGCTGATGTAAGGGCGGATCTCTTCCTCCGAGAGTGGCATCATAGGAAGTGGAGCCCCACTGGACAGCCAGTAGGACCTGTCATTTCTCTGGGCATAGTGGCACACTTGGTGGATGTTGCAGTAAGCAAAGGGCAGTGTGCTGAACACAGGAAGACAAGACCCTGCCAAACCTTGGAAAGAAGATATGCAGTATATGAGCATCCTGTTGTGTGCAAGCAGGCAGTGACACCCATGTGTGGCATTTATAGACGCCAGCTATGACCTATGGAGAACAATGCCAGAACCCATTGCCACTTTGGCCATCTCTCTGATCTGTGGACCAGCCTCCATCCATTCATCCTTCTCTTTGGAGACCAACAACCCACAAAGGGCTAGAGATGAGCACAGATACATCTATCTTCTCAATACAAATGAGCAAACAGAAGGTAACAGATGATCCAGAGAAGCCCTGAGGGTGAAAGGTGCGGATTTCCCAAAACTCCC